ACATTGAGGATGTGCATCGACTATAGAGGCCTCAATGCCATCACCGTGAAGAACGCAGAGCCTCTACCTCGCATAGACGACCTACTGGATAGGGTGCAGGGATGCAAGTACTATAGCAAGATAGACTTGAAATCTGGCTATCATCAAATCGGTATAAGACCTGAGGACCAACACAAGACAACTTTCCAAACTCGATATGGTCTGTATGAGTTTGTAGTGATGCCCTTTGGTCTTTGCAATGCGCCGGGAACATTCCAGCACGCTATGAATCGGATATTCCATGACCATTTAGATAAGTTTGTCGTGGTTTACCTTGACGACATTCTGATCTTTAGTAAGTCTGCTGAGGAGCATGCACAACATGTTGAAATTGTACTTTCATTCCTGCGACAGCACAAGTATAAGGTCAACGTAAAGAAGTGTGAGTTTGGTCGCACTAAGATATTGTACTTGGGTCATGAAGTATCTGCGGAAGGAATTAGGCTGGAAGATGCGAAGGTGGCTAGTATTCGAGACTGGCCACGACCTCAGACTGTCACTGAGGTCAGATCTTTCTTAGGAATGTGCGACTATTATAGGAACTTCGTAAAGAACTATTCTACAGTCGCCTCTCCTTTGACAGATCTAACTCGACTTGACACGCCGTGGGACTGGAGTGATGAGTGCGAGGGTGCTTTCAAGCGATTGAAGCATGCACTCATGAATCATGAAGTTCTCATGGTTCCCGATCCTCAGAAGCCGTTCGTAGTGACCACTGACGCAAGCCAATACGGCATTGGCGCAGTGCTGGCTCAGCAGGATGGGAAGAAGTTGAGACCGATTGAGTACATGAGCAAGAAAATGCTATCGAAGAAATTGGCAAAGTCCACCTACGAAAGGGAACTCTATGCTCTCTACAAGGCACTTGTCCATTGGAGACACTTCCTGTTGGGGCGATTCTTCTACTTGAGAACTGACCATCAAACGCTCAAATGGATCAAGACTCAACCGGCTCTTTCCGATGCACTCAAGCGCTGGATTGAGGTCATAGATCAATATGACTTCAAGCTTGAGTATCTGAAGGGAGAGTACAACAAGGTTGCGGATGCGCTATCTCGTAGAGCAGACTACCTAGGGGCGCTAGTTTCTGAGTTTGGTGTATCTCAAGAAGTAACTCAATCATTGGTGGGAACCTATCAGGAAGACCCTGTCATGATGGACATCAT